GCTTTGAAGACTAATATAAGTCATTTACACATGAAACACACATGAAACATTTTTCATGACTATAGAGTGTAATGAATATTTGTTTTTTTTTTCACCTGCAGCAACCCACGATTTCATCAATATATTTGATGAAATCTTCATAATTTGTTTCATTATTCATTATAGTTATCATTAAAATAATGATTTTTAATAATATAATTTCCTTATATATTAAAACGTTTCCTTTCTTCAATATTTATTTTATTTAATTTCTTTATATAATATGAATTAATAACTTCCATAATTACGAAATATGTGTACAAAATGTCATAAATACCCTTATAATTTAAATTTAATTGAAAACAAATGGAATTTTCTTATTGGTCGAATTTGGTTTACACGGTTTTTTAGAATTGAACGATTCGCATTTGAACCTGCCCCTATATATATATATATATATATATATGTGTGTGTGTGTGTGTGTGTATGTGTGTGTGTTAAAAGATGTTATTATAGCATATCCCTCCAACATCTTTCTCTAGAATGGAAAAAAAAGTAGAAGAGAGAATGTGAAATTCTTCAAATTTAGAGAACTCGTCAAAAATGATTACCACGAGAGAGAAATATTTTTTTATTATATTTTTTACTGATAAGAATTTTTGAAATCAAACTTTTGTGGTATGGGGGAGAAATTTAAATTTTATTAAATATATGAAACATTTTAGAAATATAATAATAATTGCATTCTCTAAAACAGATAAGTTGTTGGATAAATAAATAAAATAAAATAAAACTTCAAGCTTAAAAAATTATTTGAAATTGAATTATTATTATTTTTATATAAAATTGAACATCAAAATTTCTATTTTAGAGAATATGTTGAAAATACTTAAGGCCTGTTTGGTTTAACGAATGTTTAAGGAATTTGATTTCATGGGAGGATTTGGAATTGAATTTTTGAGGTGTTTGGTAACTTTGGTTTATAGAATTTTGAATGAAATTAAATTTCATTCTTAATAAATAATTTAAAAAAACAATTATACAGCTTTTTTATTAATTAATTATTATTAAAAAAAGTGTTTTAATATGTTTTAAATATTACTCAAATAAAACTTATGAAATCCTGCAAAATACCAGAATTCTAAATCTCATGTTTGTGATATTTCGATGGAATCGTAAGATTTTAGATCTAATTCTTTCAAATCAGACATATGATCAGAGTCAAATTCAATTCTAATCTCTCAAATCCTAACAAATCTTGCAAACCGAATCAGGCTTTAAGGTTTGATTTTGTCATTAAATTAATAAAGAAAGATTCATATACCATATATAATTAGATAGGTTCATTTAGGGGTGTTTGGGATTGCTTATTTGAAACAACTTATGTTTTTCTACGAAAGTAATTATCAACTTATTATAAATTAGAAGGGTTTAACTTTTACAAAAGCTTCTTATTACCGGTTTGGCACCGATATAAATTCTTTATCCAAACACTCAAAAATGTTTATTATCGGTGTCATACCAAAATAAGTCAATAAATTGTTTTTATAAGCAACCCCAAGCACCCCCTTTAGAATCACCCATTTTCCCACATTACAAGTCATGAGGATTAGAACCTCTAACTTTAGATCCACTTCACCTCAAAAAGAATGATCAAACAAATACCTCATAAGTTTGTATATATATATATATATATATATATATATATATATATATATATATATATATATATGTTCCTTTTGGATATTATGGATGTACAAGTCAGTTTGAACAAATAAACATCTAATGGAACTGAAAAAACTTAGGAGCTGTTTGACAGTTGCTGAATGGTTTAATACAGAATGATTAAATGGTCAGAAATTAGGGCGCTGAATGGTTATGAGAGACCCAAAATATAATGCAAAATGAAATATAATTATTTGGTAATTATTTACAACGAAATTAGGGCGAAGAATGGTTAAAGAGAAGCCCAAGATATAAAATCATTCAGAAGGTTATATAACTATTAAGAGGCAAGATTTTTTTTTGACAAACAAAATTCACCTCTTAATGAAACTATTAAGAGGTAAACAAACAACCCCTTAAACTGTGAACATCTGAAAACAAACTCAAGATGTTACCATTTGAGTTAACTTTTAAGGTTAATTCGTGTAGAGGTTGAAAGTAGAATTTTACACGAACACGTATCTTCGTTATAAGAGAGAACATGTAATCATGTTAAGAATGAAAGATTGAACTCAAATTAAGCTTCAAATAAAAATATGTTCAAAGGGTCATTTGACCTCTTTGAAGGGAAATGGTTGAATTCTCATAAAGGACAAAAGATAGATAAATGAACCATACCATAACACGATGGATTATTCTACTTCATCTATACAAGTTAGGGTTCTTCCATACGTTCGAACTTCTACCAAAAAAACAATCGAAGAACGACCCTTTTCTCTGCCCGATCTAAATTTTATCACTAACCAAATCAAACCACTCTAAAACGAATTAAATTATTATGCCTTTGGAGGAGCTTCCGATACTTTGTACGAATCAGCGGTTATAGAACCCAGCCATAAACCAGGAAACAGTGTCTGCAGAAATGTTAGAAATTGTTGTTAGAAATAACTCAAAGATCAAACACAAGCATTAGCAAGATCAATGATAATTATGGCTTGTTCATCAAAATTTCTAGCAGGAATCGAGAAAAGATGATAATACCACCAAGAATTACTAGTTTCTATCTTCGATTCTTATGGTTGGATCTTCTCTGAAGAATTCTTAATCCTCTCTATAACAAACATGATTATGGCTTGTTCATCAGCTACCCAAAATTCGAAATTTCTATTAGAAATAGGGAAAAGATGATAATAACAACAAGAATTTGTAATTTCTATCTCCAATTCTTATGGTTGGATCTTTTCCCCTGTTCTAATCATTCCAATTCTTAGTAATTTCTATCTTGTACTTCAACAATCCATTTCAATGTTTTTAGCAGAAATAGGAAAAACGATAATGACACCAAAGAATTATTAGTTTCTATCTCCAATTTGGATCTTTTCCCCTGTTCTAACCATGCCGTCGGTTAGATTCTTCTGAAAAAAATATATTCATAATCATCTCTATAACAACTAGAAAACCACAGAGTACTGGGAAAATCCAGAAATAAGCAAATCGAAGAAATCGTAGGATTCCCATAAGACGATTTGATGATTTGATTTGTTGAGAAATCAATTGAGAAAGGCAAAAAATGGAGATGGAAAACTTACATCAAGTTGTCTCTGAACCGTCCTTGGTCTCTTTTTTGGCCGCCGAGAAGGCTTCGATCCAGTCAATGAAAATATATCCTCTTCGATCTCGTCACGGGAAAGAGCAATCGAGAATTTCTGCTTCTTTGACGTCCCCAGATTGTTGTGATCGTTATTCTTCACTTCTGATGCTTGTTTATTAGCATTATTTCCATGAAAAGTTCTACTCTCCTGCAATGGCGATGAGCCGATCTTCTGTAAACCACCATTAGATTGCCGGTGGTTCATCGGCGGCCTTCTAGGCCTCAGATTCCAAGTCTTCGGCAGCGAATCTTCTTCGTTGGCTGCGGTGGCGTTGTCTGCTTGTGTAGACGAGCGATTTTCCTCCGCCACCGTGTCGTCATGCTTGATGTTATTGTTCTTCCGGAAACGAATACAGATCTTATTCGATCTTTTCCCTTTATTGTTATCAACAGATTTTGTTGATTTTTCAGACGACAATTTCCTGTTAGGTTTTTCAATTCCTTTCGAAACGGCGCAACCAGGTTCAGATTCCGACTCTGAGTCACGCATCGGCGATTGTTTGTGAAGAGGTGACGGCCGCCGCGAAACGTAAGACGGAGAGGATTGCCGCAATGGAGGAGGAATATGAGCATGAGAAATCGGAGGAGGAGGAGGAGGAGATTCACGCCATGGAGTAGACGGAGATCGATGAGGCGGCGATGATGATGAAGTCTCTCCGGCTAGTCTGCTACGGCCGCTGCGGTGGTTCTTCCATTTCAGATGAGGCAACGAGAAGTTGTGCAGCGGTTGAGATTTCGCTGGTAGTGGTGACGCCATTCCTTTCACACTCTTTCTACCTAAACCCTAACCAACTAACACCGAATCGATCAAAATCTTCGTCATTTCAATCAGAGAATGAATCCAATCAATACTCATCCCAAAAAAATTGTTTCAGCAACAAAAATCACAGACAAATCAATGGATATTAAAATCAATCCATAAAAACTGATTGCTACACTTGAAAATAGAAAAATCAAAACGAGTTGTCGAGAAATCGGATTGAACGAAAATGGGTGTGATGGATTTGGATTTGATGAATGGTGAAAAACTGAAATCAGATGAAAACGGAAACTTTTGAAGAGAGAATTGAAAGCGTTTACCAGCAATCAAAAAATAGAAGTGGGAAGAACAGATGAACAAGAGAAGAGAAGAGGAGAGGAGGGGGTGTTAATGGGGTTTGCAGGGCACGAAACATTTAATTGATTACCGATTATACCCTTATTGATTTCCATAATTACAAGATGGTATCTAAGTCGTGGGGGCGGCAACCATGGATTATGTTGGGGGTTAAAAAAGAGAGCCATTCTTGCTGGTCAAGCAAACCTACACCTTCTAATGTATTTCCAATGACTAAACTAACTACAACTTTATAACACCTTTAAACGTTATATTTTACAAACTAGCTGATAATTTATTTGATAGTTGATAAATAAATTATATTAAATAAAACTTAACTTATAAATATGTAAAATGATCAAAAATGACCCATCTTAAAAAATAATTAAAAGAATAAATAATATGATACGTTGACTAAAAGAATTTCAGTTGATTATTATAAATTTTGGATTTGTTAAACAAAATTTAGAAATCTATTAACACGTTTTTAAATTAAATACTTTATTAGAATCATGCAACACATTTTTATCTATAAAACAAAATAAGTCATTTTATGTAACTTACATAAATGTTTTTAAAAAATTTATATTTACTTTTTTATGACTAAATATATCGAATAATAATTATAAAAATAATTGATGTGATTAATATTATTATAAATAATTAATATTAATGTATATTGTGGGCGTTAGAGCATTGATAGGGGACATCCTGGACTTGAACCAGAGACCTCGCTCGGACTCAAATTGCCGACATTCATCACAGGGTAAACCTTTGTCCCACATTCCTCACTTGTTTGATTGTTGCTGAGCAGTTTTTGGATGAGAAATGGCGTAGTAAGCGACGAAATGCTTCTTATGTCCGCAGAAAATGGTATAGGGTAATTGTATTCTAGCTATATAATACATAGTTAAAATTGATTAATAATTCATATTAATTGATAGTTAATATTTATTAACAATAGTGATAATTATTTTTTTAATATTTATTAATAATTAATATTTACTTATTATTAATGGTAATAAATAATATTAATTGAAAGTTTTTTCTTCCGAGCCCGAGCATAGTGTTCTTTTTATGAGCCCAACTCAAATACCCTACTATTCAACTCGATTCTGCTCGTTTACACCCCCAAACCCACTTATTACAAAACATGGCGAGTCCCTATCTCCAGCCAAACATCAACGCTCACAACTCCCCGTTGTCGACCGCTTCTCCACCTCCAAACCCAAACCCATCTCCAAACCTAGAACTACCCCTTTCCCCTTCATCTACCCTATATCGATCGAACCATTTTCCACTTTGTGGACTGCAATAACAGTGAAGAAACCATCGAAACAGACAACAATGAAGCTTCCCCATACCTTCTTCAACGGACGACGACCCCACTATTTCTTCGATCTCTCTTATCTCCCTTCCCTAATGTCTATCTTAAACGAACAAACTGAAATTGACACCCATAACCCCTTTGTTCCCGTCGTTAGACTTTGCATCGTATTTTTAGAGTTCCATATCTTGATTGCAAAGGGTTCATTGAATAGCGTTTGAATTTTGGTTTGATTTTGATTTTAATTTAGGTTCCTCTATTAAAGTTCATGAATTGTTGGTTTGATTAGGGTTTTATTTATTACTATGTGCTCTGACCTTTTGGTCGTAGTAGATGACTGTTTAGGTTTTGTTACATTTAGGTAAAGTAATATCTATTACCTAATGTATGTCTTTATTATATAAGTAATATAACATATATTAGATTAAATGAATTAATATTTAATTTTTTAAAAGTAAAATGACAAAAAATTGAAAAGTACAAAAAACCCCCTTCATTTAATGGTCATTAAAATGATTGATTAAATCTGGATATTTTTACAAACCATAAGGGGACGTTTGGTTCGTAGAATAGAATTCGATGGAATTGGAATTCATCAAATGAATTTGACTTTAAGGGAATGGAATGAAATCCGATGGAATTTGACTATGCCTTGTGATTGCGTTTGGTTGCATGGAATTGAAATGGAATTCTTAACAGAATTGAATTAGGGAAGGAATATGTAGGAAAGAAATTGAAATCCTAGCATATTGCCATGGAATTGTAAAATCTGTGCGTGAAGAAATCGACTGGAATTGAAAGGATTCCATAGTCTTATTCCATGAACCAAACACTCTATTTGAAATTTGGTCAAAGAATTGGACATTCCAATTCCTTTCAATTCCCATAATCCAAACAGCTTCTAAGAGTTGTCTTATATCTTCAAAACTGTAAAAATGAAAGTGTTCATCTAACAAACCACAAGGACCAAATTTGTAGTTCACTTATTTCCAATTTTAAAGTTTGATCAATTGTTTGTTTGTTACATTTTCAAGAGGTTTCTAAAAAAATAAAAAAAATAAAAAAAAATTTAATTTAATTTAAAAATATATATTCCATTCTAATTCTTATAAGATCTTTATTTTGAAATTTCAACATTAATTATATTATTTAAATACTTTATACATTTAATAAAAAAATATTTTTCTTCCGAACATTTAATTTCAAAGATTCTTGTTTATTGAATATGATAAAAATATTATTTTACCTTCATCGTAATTATTTTTTGCCTTTTTGGGCAGTTCTTCAAATTTAGAAATTTTCATTTTTTTTCTATATTTTAAAGAAAGTTATTGAAAATTTATTGAAGCAAAATAACATAAAATCCCTAGAATTTCAGTTTTTTCTGTTTTAACAAAATTTGTTATAAATTCCTATATACACTTACAGGGTTACATCTAAGAGCAGCTGTAACAGATTTTTCCAAATGAAGAAACAAAATTCATAATCTTCAAAATAAACTGCATTCAACTTTAACAAATTCTTTATTTTGAAGATTACAACATCAGTAATGTTATTAATATATTTTATATATATAACAAAATATTATTCATCTCCCATAAACATTTAACAACAATATATTACAGGTGAGAACATAAGAAAAAGTTGTTTATCTAAAATAATCATTTTTGGGAATTCTGTAAATTTCACACACTAATGTTTTCTTTATTTTAAAAAAGGTTTTGAAAAATCTGTTGAAAACAAAATTTATCCAAAATCTTTATATTTTTTGATTTTAAAGAATTTATTAGAGATGCTTTAGATGTATATTTATATTAACTAGAAGGGTATCCGTGCAATGTATCGAGACACATCTCGATTTCAGTGTTTTGTTTTATTTATTTTTTATGTCGATATAATACGGTTTTATGTGGTCTTGAGAACGCGATAATTTTTTTATTTTTAATAAAATATAAATTTGAAAATATTATAAAATTTTGAAAAAAAATATATTAATATTTGGTATCAAATTAACCTTTTTAAAAATTCTTGTTTTTGGTGTAATTTCTTAAATTCAATTTTTTATTATAATTTAATTTAGGTTTAGTAACGAAGTAATTTAATTTAGGTTTAATAATATAATTTTTTATAAAGATAATAACTAAGTATTCTGTTAGAACTCAATGATTATTCTAATTATATTTTAGATTTTGTATATTATTCAATATTTGATTATGTTTATCTGCAGTTAGTTATACGAATTAAAATATAAAGCTTTAGTAAGTTGTACTTATACACAATTTACTTGTAATTTAAATTTTAAGTAATATGCATCAATAAACCATATTTCGTGCATAGAGAATAGTTTTTAAGAGTTTTTGTCAAATTCTTTATAATATAGTATAGATATTAACTCTAATGATGTGGTTTTCTTTTTCTTTTTTAATTTTTAATACAACTATTACAATTATTATTATTATTATTAGGTTTGTTACTTTGAATTTTATTATTAAATTAATCTCATTCTATTTTATTTTTACTTTAATGATATTATTAAATTAATTATTACTTGATTCCCTCATTTTTTACCATTTAAGTATTTTTTATGTTATGTTTTTCTTTAAAGTATAAACTTTTTATTTCAGAAATTTATTGGTTTTTTTTAAAGTGGAACTCGAACTTCAATAAGTCAAAATATCGTTTTTTAGGTTTGGATTTTGCTTGAAAACAAGACCTCGTCATTAATGTCATTAAAAATGTCCATTAGAGTCAGGGGTAAAATCGTTCAACCATATTTTGTCTCCCTTTTTGCACTTCTTATTGTTTTTTTTTTCTTATTTTTTGTAAAAACCATTAAATTATAAGGACCAACTAAGCAATTAACCGTAAAAACCACAAAATGGTCATCTTCTCTTACAACCCTCTGAAAACGAAAAAAAGGGTCATCAACAACCCCTACCTTCTCTTGAATCATACCCTCACTGGAAAATCACACCGAAAATCGTCCAAACTGAACCAAGATTTGTACAAAGCTAAATCGCCCACACACACATAATATACAAATCTAAATAAAAAATAATCAACCCAGATTTATAGAAACTTAATCAAACACTTCAAAATCCGATTTATACATACCCCCAGATTCATACAAAAACTTTCAAGCAAATTTAAAACTTGTTTAACTTAACGAACCGAGCTTCATAACACCAATGTTCAACTCAGGTCGTTCGAAAACTCTATTAAACTTCTCGAGTCGAGTCGAGTCGAGTCAAGCCATTCGATCAAACATTTTTTTCGAGCCAAACATGCTCATATGTTCATAAATCATACAATAAATATATAAAAATTATCAACCTCGAGCCTATAAACAAGTTAATCGATCGTGAGTTCAAACCCATAAACAATGATCGATCTTGAGCTCGATAATTCCAAAAATATTTGAGCTCGAAGTCGAGCTCTATATTTAAAAAGTTATTCGAGACTGAGCCTGGTATTTCTTTTTCGAGCCCAACTCGAATAACCTAATACTCGACTCGATTTTACTCATTTACCCTCGTAAACCCACTGGTTACAAAACATGGCGACTCTCCATCTTCGGCCAAACATCAACATCGACAACTCCCTAATATCAGCCACCTCTCCATCTCCAAACCCACCCCCATCTACAAACCCAGAACCAACCCGTTTCCCTTCATC